AATATCATATCTGGTTTAGTGTTGAACATATTTAAGAATATATTGAAGTCCTTAAATAATTTTTAAGTAGCTTTTTTCCCTCCAGGTATTTCTTGCTTTGTACTTGAAATAATGACTCTACTTAATTGTTTTATATTATACTAACATACCTTATAATCAGTTAAACATTTTCTTATTTGATAAGTCTCAGTGTCATTATTAAAGCCTTTAAAAAAAATAAACATAAACCTAAGGTACTCACTTGGTTTGTAGCATTTAAGCAACTTAAAATATAAAAACAAATGAGGCATTGGGTCATTTTGTAAAATTATTACCATATGGAGATATTCTCTCTCTAGGTATTAAAGGAAAAGAAGGTCGTCAAGCATCCAGGAATAGTGATTATTCTGTTCCAAAGTTTAAACATTTGAAGAAATTGTTATTGGCTCATGGACATCTATACTATGTGAGAATAGCACATCTTGTACAGTATTTCTTCTATAAGGTATGTGATCAAATGTTTATAATTTAGCTCTTTTGCAGGGGATTGTTTTAGAAATAGGATCTTGCTCTGTAGTCTAGATTTGAATCAAATTTATTATATAACTGGGGCTGGCACATACTCCTCCTGCCTTAGCCTCCCAGGTGCTAGAATTATAGATGTGTACTACGGTGCTGAGCTCTGCAATATAATTTCTATAAGTCAAAACAAATGCAATACTGTGGATATAAAAGATAGCTTTATTAAAGTCTAAATTAAATATAATAATGTACTATCCATTAAGAACATATAAACCCAGAGCAAAGAGATGTTTTGCTTAGCTAAGAGTTTATGGATCTTTTTTATCTTTTCTTTTTTTGTGTGTTTGGTTGTTTTCTGTTTTGTTTTTTGCTTTGTTTTGTTTTTCAAGATAGTTTTTCCTTGTGTAGACTTGGCTGTCCTGTACTCACTTAATAGACCAGACTAGCCTGGAATTTACAGAGATTTACCTGCCTCTGCCTGCCTAAGTGCTGGGATTACAGGCATGTTGCCACCATGCCTGGCTCTTTTTTTTTTATTCTCATTAGTTACATTTTGTTAATTCTGTATCCCAGCTGTATCCCTCATTCCCTCCCCAATCCCACCCTCCCTCCCTCATCTCCTCCCTGCCCCTTTCCAAGTCCACTGATAGGGGAGGACCTCCTCCCCTTTCATATGACTCTGTTTTGTCAGGTATTTTCAGGACTGGCTGCAAAGTCCTCCTCTGTGGCCTAACAGGACTGCTCCTCCCTTGGGAGGTGGGGAGGTCAAAGAGCCAGTCATTGAGTTCCTGTTAGAAATAGTCCTTGTTCCCCTTACTATGGGAAACCAATTGATTACTGAGCTATCACAGGTCACATCCGAGCAGAGGTTCTAGGTTTTATCCTCTCATGGTCTTTGGATGAGTGTCCATCTCAGAAAAGACCCTGTGCCCAGATATGTTTGGTCCTTGTGGAGCTCCTATCCTTTCCACATCAAACTCCCCTTCTTTCATATGATTCCCTGCACTCTGCCTAAGGTTTGGTTATGAGTCTTAGTATCTACTTTGGAACACTGCTAGGTAGAGTCTTTCAGATGCTTTCTGAGGTAGACTCCTGTCATATGTTCAATGCATATCCCATTTGTCTTTCTAAATGAGGATTGATCATCATACCTCATGTCCGCTTTCTTGATTATCTTCTTTAGGTGTATAAATTTCATTATGTTTATCATATCTTTTAGGTCTATATAAGTGAGTATATTCCATGTTTGTCTTTCTCCTTCTGGGATACTTCACTCAGAATGATCTTTTCTAGATCCCACCATTTGCCTGCAAATTTCTTGATTTCCTCTTTTTTGATTGCTGAGTAGTATTCCATTGTGTAAAAACACCATAATTTCTGTACCCATTCCTCCGTTGATGGACATCTAGGTTGTTTCCAAGTTCTGGCTATTACAAATAAAGCTGCTACAAACATGGTTGAGTAAATGTCCTTATTGCGTACTTGAGCAAATTTTAGGTATATGCTTTTTTAACCCTTTCAAAGAATCAAATGCTTGTTTTATTGATTCTAATTTTTTGTATATGTATGTATCTTTTTATTTCAGTTTTTTCCTCTATTATTTTTGAGATCATAATGTAATTACATCATTTTCCCTTCCCTTTCCTTCCTCCACACCCTCCCATATATGCCTTCTTCCTCTCTTTCATGCCTTCTTTTTTCATTAATTGCTGTTACATGCACATATGTGTATGCATATGTATATACAGACAGACATTCCTGAATATAACCTGCTCTGTCTGGATAATGTTAGTTATATGTATGTTTTTAGAACTCACCATTTGGTATTAGATAACCAGTTGGTGTGCTCCTCCATAGAGAAGACTTTCTCCAATTATCAGTATTCCTTGGTTACCTGCAGTTCCTTGTGTAGGCTTGAGACTTTGTGATCCTCCTCCATCCACTTTTGGCATGTATGTTCTTGTTCAGCTAATATTTAGGTGGTCATGTTGGTAAGACTCTAGGGGTGTAGTACTAGGAGAGAGGGAATTGACTGATCTCTGGCTCTTACAGTCTTTCTGCCACATCTTCCTCAGTGTTGCCTAGGCCTTAGGTATGAATGATGTTTTGTAGAATTATGTAACTATTGGGACTGGGCTCTACGAATCCTCATTTGATTGGCTGTGTTTTTCTGTAATGATTTTTATCTGTCCATTTCTTAAAAAAAAGTTTCCTTGATAAGAGGCAAATGTTTAGAATGTACTTAGAACGCTGGTTTTCTAAAGTGGTGGTTGTATGTTCTCCAAAATCCATGACTTTACTAGGCCTGAGTACTTAGCTATGTTTCCAGTACCTGCTATCATTTCCCCAAGCCAATTAGAGAGATGCTAGTTACTGCCAAGGTATGTGTGCCACTATTGTACCCTTAGGATTATTATGCAATTCTGGTTCTCAGTATGGTTCATTGGCATCATAGCTGGGTAGGACTGTAGGTTGTCTCCTTCATTTGGAAGTTTGCATGGTGACTTAAGCATTCAGGTCAGTTCCAGCTCAGAGGCCTCCAGGCCCTTTGTTTGAAGTTGCATTCTATCTTTAACAATAGAAATATAAACGCCCTCTTCTCAGTGGTAACGAAGGGCAATAGCAATATTGCCTATGTGTATGTTTTTGGAGTCTCTTGGACAAAACTGACCAACAGTTCAAAAGAGGGCTTCTCCTGCCTATTTTTGGTGTTTTTTATTAGGTGGTCTTTGGCTCTTGGAGGGGCCATTGTCAGACCAGATAAGAAAATTTCATTTAAACTATATATGTCCATTTATACACAGATTTACATATTTTATAGGCCTTTTTAAGGAATACAGTTAAAAACATGATTCCTTATGACTTTTTCTAAATAGCCTTACCATAACTTTACCGTTCTCCTTCTTTCTCCTGTATATATCTCTCCCTCCCTCCAAATTAGACTCCCCATTTTTCTCATTTTCATATGGGATCACTTGTACTTGTGTTCCCCTTTCTATGACTCCCAACCCCCGCATCCTACACCGACAGTGGTCCCTCTTAACTTTTGTTTTTTCTACAGTTAATCCAGAATACATACTCATGTCTGAAGATTCAGAGCTAAGGGCCTCCAATGAGAGAGAACATGTGACAATTGTCTTTCAGGGTCTGAGTCACCTCACCTCAATGCTATCTTTCTAGTTCCATTTACCTGTAAAATTGATTGCATTTTTCTTTACAGCTAAATAATATTGCATATTGTAAATGTACCCACATTTGCATTATCCATTCATCAGCTTAAGGACATTTAGATTGGGTTGTTTTTTTTTCCTAGCTATTGTGAATAGAGCAACAATAGACATGACTGAACAAGTATTTGTGGAGTGGGTTTTCTTGTCCATTGAACATTTGCCAAGGAATGGTACAGCTGGGTCATATGGTAGATTTGTTTTTAGGTTTTTTTTCTTTATTAATTACACTTTATTCACTTTGTATCCACCCTGTGGTTCCCTCCCTCCTCCTGTCCCAATCCCTCCCTTCCTCCACCCTCTGCATGCATGCCCCTCCCCAAGTCCACTGATAGGGGAGGTCTTTTTCTTCCTTCTGATCCTAGTCAATTAGGTCTCATCAGGAGTGGCTGCCTTGTCTTCTTCTGTGGCCTGGTAATGCTGCTTCCCCCTTAGGGGGAGGTAGAGTCTCAAGTACACAAAAGGACATTTGCTCAACTATGTTTGTAGCAGCCTTATTTGTAATAGCCAGAAGCTGGAAACAGCCCAGATGCCCCTCAGTGGAGGAATGGAGGCACAAATTGTGGTATATCTACACAATGGAATATTACTCAGCAATAAAAAAACAAGGAAATCATGAAATTTGCAGGTAAATGGTGGGATCTGGAAAAGATCATCCTGAGTGAGCTATCCTAGAAGCAGAAAGATACACACGGTATATACTCACTCATATAGACATATAATATAGGATTAACCTGCTAAAATCTGAACACCTAAAGAAACTAATCAAGAGGGAGGACTCTTGCTAAAATGCTCAATTCCTATCCAGAAAGACAAAGAGGCTGGACATCAGAAGAAGGAGAAAAGAGGGAACAAGTCAGGATCCTGACTCAGAGGGCCTCTGAAAGGCTCTGTCCTGCAGACTATCAAAGCAGACGCTAAGACTTATGGCCAACTGTTGGGCAGAGTGAATGGAATCTTATGTAAGAAGTGGGAAACAGTAAGACCTGGAGAGGACAGGAACTCCACAAGCTGAGCAACAGAACCAAAAAATCTGAGCACAGGGGTCTTTCCTGAAACTGATACTCCAACCAAGGACTATGCACAGAGATAACCTAAGACCCCCTGCACAGATGTAGCCCATGGCAGTTCAGTATCCAAGTGGGTTCCATTGTAATAGGAACAGGTACTGTCTCTGACATGAACTGTTTTTAGGTTTTTAGGAATTCTTCACACTGGCTTCATAGTCACTACTCTTGTTTGCAGTCCCACCAACAGATAGCAAGTATTACCTAAAATACGGAACATTTTACAAATTTGCATGTCATCCTTGTGCAAGGGCCATGTTAATTTTCTATGTAGCCTACCAGTTCTACATCTGTGCTGCTGAAATGAGTACTGTTTTTATTTTTTGAGACATACAGTTTATCACTATATAGTCTTGATAGCCTGGAACTCACTATGAAGACAAAGCTGGTCTAGACTCACAGAGATTCACCTGTCTCTGGTTCACAAGTGCTAGAATTAAAAGTATGTGCTACCACACCTGACCCTTTCAGTAATTTCCAACTTTTATTAATTCAGAGTGTACTTGGTTTTTCAAGGTCCTAAGGTACTTTCTTAGTTATCTGAGAGCTCACTTATTTTGCCTCTCTGGCAAGTTCTCTTGTATCTCAGAGTGGCCTTGAGCTCAGTATGTACTTGAGAATGACGTTGAACTTGTAATTCTTTGGTTCTAATGTCCAGGTACTATGATTACAGGTGTATTCCTTCATGCCAAGTTTATGTGGTATTGGTGAATGAATACAGGGCTTTGCACATGCTGAGCATGCACCCTACTGGATGGGGCTAAATCTCCAGCCCCATCTGATGTTTTTAATGCAGATACTTAAAGGTTTAAATGTCAGTCTCAGGACTACTTAGCCCAGGTTAGGATATGTTGTATTTTTACTTTCAGCTCTCTGATTCTTTTTTTTTTTTAACTCCCTCCTTGATTTCAGTGGCCCATTCATTATTCTATAGAGATTTGTTTATTTGTTTGTTTGTTTGGTTGGTTGGTTGGTTTTGTTGTTCTTGTTTTTGAGACAGGGTCTCACTATGTCTCACTGGCTGTCCTGGAACTCACTATGTAGACCAGGCTGACCTGAGACTCAGAGATCTGCCTGCTTCTGCCTCTTTGTCTCTCAGGTGCTGGGATTGAAGCTATGTGCCACCACACCTGCCTTAGAAAGAGGTTTTCAATGTCTGTGACTTTGTATATGTTTTATAGTTTCTCTTGCTGTTGGTTTCTAATTGTAGGCTATTTTTGTCAAGTAAAGTACAAGGAATTAATTTTCCTATGTACTTTGTGTATTTTTTGTTGTTGTATGTTCTATTTTAAAGAAAGGTCCATGGACTGCTGAAAAGATTATATTCTGCTGTGTTTAGAAAAAATTTTTATAGAAAACTGTTAAATCAATTTGATCTGTAATATCATTTAACCCAAATGTTACACACACACACATACACAGAGAATTTTAAATAAGGATAATTATTTGTTTGTGAGTAGGATTTTAAAGGCACCTTCTCTGTTATTTTGGTGTTAATTGTTGCTCCCTCCCCTCAGTTTCATTTGCTTTCAGTACCTTTTTCCATCCTTACATTCTAAGATTGTATCTGTCTTAGATAGTGAGGTATATTTCTTGGAGGCAACAAAGGGATAGATCCCATTTTTTTAAGTCAGTCTGCTTATGTGTGTTTGCTGATTGGAGAACTGAGACCATTAATATTGATATTATTGAAAAATGTTGTGTTAGGCAAATTGCTCTAACTTCAAGGCCAGCCTGGTCTACAGAGAGAGTCCAGGACAGCCAAGGCCACATAGAGAGGCCCCATATTAAAAAACAACCAAAAAAAAAAAAAAAGACCAAAAGATGTTACATCAGTTCTTGTCATTTCTAGTTTGCTTAACTATTGCTCCCGCATGGTTTATTCTTTTCTGTAGCCTGTGGTTGTGTTTATCTTTCTCTTCAGTCCAAAGTATTCCTTCAAATATTTTCTATAGTGGTTATGAATTATTTTATCTTGTTTTTTTTTAACGGTTAATTTTTCTTTCTCCTTCAATTATGACAGACAATTTTGTTGGAAGCAGTAATCTGGTTTGGTTGTCTTTCAGGGCTTGAAATCCATCATTCTGGAAACTTTGTATTTTTCTGATGAGCTTGCCTTTACAAGTTTCTTTGTTCTGCTCATTTGTTATATTAACTATAATATAATGTGGAGAGAAATATAATGTGGAGAGGTTCCTTTTTGGTCTTACTGTTAGAGTGTTTTAAGTTACTTCTGTACCTGTTATGAGCACCTCTTTCCCCAGATTTGGGAAATTTTCTGCTATGGTTTTATTAAACTGTTTTCTGTGCCTTTAACACAAGGTTCTTCTGTGCCCATGATTCATAGTTTTGGTCTTTTCATAGTGTCCTATGAATCTCAGATGTTCTGATTGTAATATATATATATATAGTATGTGTGTGTGTGTGTGTGTGTGTGTGTGTGTGTGTGTGTGTGTGTACAGAAGCATCTTGAAGAAGTCAGTTCTTTTCCTTTACCATATGGGTCCCGGGTAGCAAACTCAGATTGCCAAGCTTGTCAGCAGATGCCTTTACTCACTGAGCTATTTCTCTGTCTTCATATTAACTCATCTTTGTCACTGTCTGTGTCAGGTCCCCTACCTTGTCTTTAATGCCAGATATTCTGTCCTCCTTTTGCTTCATTCTGTTGGTGATGCTTTTTAAGTAGCTTATCATTTGGCTTACTGAACTTTTTTTTTTTTTTTGCAGTATTTCCTTTTTTTCTATTGTAGTATTTCTAACTGTTGAATTCTGTTTTTATATCCTCTGTATACTAAATGTTTCATTTAGCTGTCTGTGTCATCTTGGGTATTCTGTTTTGGAGCCTTTGTCTATGTTCACACTGTTTGACCAGGTTTCCACCTGACCCATCAAATGAGTCATCATCAGTGATCACTCTTGCTATATATAGCACCAGATAACTAAGGCTCCTATATGTGCATTTGTTAAATTAAAAAAAATTAAAAATGAATCAGGTATAGTCCACACCTTTAATTCCAGCATTCAAGACGGAGAGACAGGTGTATTTTTTGTGAGTTTGAGGCCAATCTGGTTTATATGAGTTTGAGAATGTGATGGGGTCCTTGTCTCCAAAACAAGAAAGAAAATGTTTATCAATGACATCTATGTATATATAGAAGGGAAAATGTGTAGATACTTTGGGATTATATGTATGTACGTGTGTGTGTGTGTGTGTGTGTGTGTGTGTGTGTGTGTGTGTGTGTGT